TAAACAACAATAAAGGCCATTGTAGAACAGTAAGGATAAATTACTTTCTAACTTCATATTGATATCACACTTTTCTATTGATGGAATTTAAGCCGTGTGTGTGTGTGTGTGTGTGTGTGTGTGTGTGTGTGTGTGTATATACACATATACAAATAGATATACATATACATGTGTATATATAGATACACATACATATATATATATATATATATATATATATATATATATATATTGTGTGTGTGTGCATATGTATACATGTACGTATTCTCTCATTATTTCTCCAACCAGCTTGAGGCAATTTCAGTGGAATAATATCATGCCCATTTCCTAAAGTGAGTAACTGAGGCACAGAACAATAACTTTAACCATCCAGTTAGGTTAGAGTCCTAGACCAGTTATGGGAAGAGAACCTAGAATACCTATGTTTCATTACCTTTCAGATAATCTCAGCTTACCACTCTCTTGTTATTTATGCCTTAAAATTGTTTTTCTATCTTTCCTATTTGTTTTTTTTTTTGCCTCTGCTCTTGAGGAATCATTCCTGCTTCCTATGATAAACAAAATCTTGGCTTTAATTCTGTACAGGCTGGTCTTGTGGAATATGGCATTCCTCAGAATTCGAGCTTAAGTTAGGGTTTTAAGGTTTCACATTTTGCAGGCAGGAATGCCATGGTTAGCACTTCACACTGCATTTGGAGATGGGGAGGAAAAGGATAGAGGTGGGGAAATGGAGAGGGAGAGAAGAAGAGATGGAGGGAGAAGAGGGAGGGATGGAAGAAGGGAAGGGGGGAGAGAAAGAGAGAGAGAGAGAGAGAGAGAGAGAGAGAGAGAGAGAGAGAGAGAGAGAGAGAGAGAGAGAGAGAGAGAGAGAGAGAGAGAGAACACTATGACAGGAAGAATTCTTTCCCTTGGTCTTACAACGAAAATTAAAAGGTCCCCTGAGGACTTATTAGACGAGTCACAGATCCCTATTACCCTGCCAGCTTCTCTGGATACTTCACCTCCTACATAGCTGTGTATACTGTGCAAACATTTTTTAAGGGAGTTGAGCTGTGGGGACAAAATCCAAATGAACTCCACTTTCCCCATTCTGAAAGTCACCAAGCTTTCTGGCAGTGTCATGTGGGGCCTGTCATTGGCCCTTCAATGTCACGTCTTCACAGTGATGGAGAGGGTGGCTCCATGTGAAGATGAACTTGCCACCACCTCAGACATTCAAAGAGTTAAATAAAATGAGGGAATTTTAGGCTTCCAGGCCTACTCACACCCTGGAAGCATTCAGCCAATCATACTGCCTGACCTGAACATTTCAAGGTCTTACTTAGGAAAGGAGCCATTTCAAGACTCAACACGGCACTGATCTGGCTAATTCAATGGGGCTCAAAGGTGGAGGGGCCATTCAAGACCATCTAGTACTACCCCTTCATTTTACACGTGAGCAAATTAAGGCCCAAGAGGTTGAGACTCCGAGCTTGTTGACAGTAGGATTCGTTTCAGTCTTCAATTCATATTGCTTAGCCCAGTGCTTGGCACCTAGTAAACACGATCAATGTTTTTATTCATTCATTTAGTATTAAGGCTATGGTCATGTAGAGAACAGGTCCAGACAGCAGAACTGAAATCTAAATTTGAGTCTTTCGACTCCACATTTAGGATACCACACTGCCCTTATGAAATAATAATGAAGCTTCTGAAGTTCCATGTCCAAAGCCAAACCAAGCCAAACCAAACAAACAAAAAGCAAACAAACAGAGGCATCCCTTAGGTCACTACAAATGGACTGTGGACACCACAGCAATTGGTGTTTGGGATGAATATGTAGTAACATTTATTTGGACTTTCTTCCCATCAAAAATGGTGTCCAAATTTGCTATTTTTGCATTTTCTTCTTTCAAAGACATTTTCCCCTTCTCTCATTCTCTATCCTGTGTTTTCTTAGCATTGCCTCTTGCTGGTATCCCAAATGAGATAATGCATGCAAAGTTCCCTGCAAACTTTCTTGCACTATTTAAATTGGCTGTTATTATTGTTACAAAAAACGTAGGTGTTCCACCCTCACCCAGTAAATCTGACCGCTGGACAACCCCCCAAGGGTGAAATGCATTTTTCTACAGTGTTTTCAAAGTGATGGGTGACATGCTCTTTTCACATAACAAAAGTACCTTTCCTGCACAAAGCTTCAGAAGAAATACCCTGATGAGACCCAGAAAATAACCCTAACCACCACACTCTTAAAGATGTACAAAGTTCCCAGGTCACCAGACCCTTGAACAACTTCCAACTCATCTACATCATTTTAACACTCATCCATCTGTCAGTTTTCAAATTGCTTCCAACTTCAATTAGAATGTTTCCCTTTGAAATCACTGATTATCTATTTGGTTCATCAGGGCAAGCAGCCTCATTTGAAGTTTGAGCATTTGTAAGTTCTTGACTTATCTGTGTAATGATCCTGTGTTTGTTTTAGGAGCAAAGTACAGAAAAGCCTATTTAAGACTTTTTTTCCCCTCTAAAAGATGTTTATCTTTTGAAGTTCCAAGCTATTAGAAAGAGTGAATATTTTCTTCACTTTGTCTCATTTTCAGAAAAATGTTACAAAGAAATTCCTCCATATGTAACTTCCAGTTAACATAGGCACAAGTTAAACTTTTGGCTCAGAAGTCACAGAAGGAAATCCTTAGAAAGTTGCAATTATAGGCTTTGCTGGAATACAATATCACATGATTGCAGGACTAGATTTTGAGCTGGACAGGATCTTAGAAAATATTTACCCCAATCACAGCTACTAGTAACAGGGCCAATTTGAATCCATGCCCTGGGACTTCCAATTCTTGAACTCTTTCCACTCTAGGATACATAAAATCAAAACTAAACAATTCTCTAAGGCTGGAAAAATTGGAGGATCTGGTTTAGTATTAAAATGCTGACCATTTTATCTCTTTAGAGAAGGTTAAGAAATTAAGGCCACAGTGATAAAGGAAGCCCACAGTTCCTTTACTCCCAGGTACCTCATGATTCAGATATTCTGTGCCTGAGAGAGAAAGAAGGGGTTTGGAGAACAAAACTAGATTATATTCATGATCAGTACAGTGCTGGGCACACGGTAGGTGTTTAATAAGTGCTGGTTAAATTGGATTGATCCTTTCTTTTTTCCAGAGGCATTCAGCACATTTTCACCAATCCAAACCTTACTGAACTACTTGGAAAGAAAAGGCGAAGATATCAACTTTCCAATAGAACACATACAATATGGTAGCCACCAGCCTGTTAAAGAAGTGACCAGTTGACAAAGTAGGACACATTTGGCTTGCTAGACATTTACTTGGATCCCGTATCTACTATGCCATACTGTGAAAAGAATAAAGTGTCTATTTACATAGGGGACCACCGTGGTTAGGAAAAGGGAAACTGCACTGACTTTGTTATTTTTTTAAACATCCTGGTTTACAAACCCCACCTCCCAGCATTGTTTACACACACTTTCACTAAAACAAATGAAAACCAAAAATAATTATGCAGCTCTCTAATTTGAGGCAGCCTCCAATCAGAGAAAACTATGCATGTCAGGTTTAGCACTCAAGAGTCCACAGGGTAACAGGCAGGGAGCACAGCCCAGCACATCATCAACAAGTCAGCTTGAGAAAGGAAGAAAACTTCAGCAAAGAAACAGTGTTTTTAAAGCCCCAATTGTGTGATAAATAAGAGTTTTAATTATTCTATGAACTAGCTGGTTTCCTTTCATAGAGACATGTCCGACAGTCCAAGATCAAGCATTAGGAGAGCAGCATCATAATCAAAGCTCAAACTTACTCAATGCAGGAAGTTGTTTTTTTTTTAAAGCAAATATTTCTTTCATGAGAGAAAAAAAAGTACCAAACATTTTTTTTTCTTTCCATAGTTCAGAACAATCAAGACAACATTTCATTGACGTAAGTCTTGGTTCTATACATCCTAGAAATGCACACTCTTGGCACAAGGTTTTGTAAGAGGGAAAAACAATAACAACAACAGTATAATATAATGATCAAGTCTGACATGAGTGACATGATTATGTATCCCCAAAAATAAAACCCGGCGCACATATATGTGCACCCACACACACATAAGGAATGATGCTGTGACAGGAGACCAGGTATCTGGGAAAGATGAATTAATCACTGTGAAATTTCCTTTGAAGTTAATGGAATGAAAAACAACCAAATATAAATAGGAACTTTTAAAAAAAATTAGGTTTATAAATAACTCTAGTCTTGTTTGTAGACCAGAGTATTCTAATGAGATGTTTGTGAAAGGAATGTAAAACCCACGTGGAATACAGACTTGCAGGTGATCGAGACATTATGAGAGGTGCAGTGACTGAACAATGGTTCTTAAGCTTCTTTTGTGTCATGAACCTCTCTGTCAGTCAGGCGAAGCCTATGAACCACTTCTCAGAAAAATGTTTTAAATGAATAAAATAAAATGAATAGGTTTACAAAGGAAATAAATTACATTTAAACACAGTTACATATATATATGTATATGTATATTTTTAAACAAATTCACAGATACAAGCTAAGAATGCATGAAATACAACATCACAGGAGTCAGTGACTCTGCCCTCCCGTTGTCTCCACTCACCCCCCCCCAATAGCATAACAATGGACGGCTGTAAGAAAGGTATTGTTTATTAGGTCACTCAGGTGAGAACAGGGAGGGCTCCTCATTAAACCAAACAAATGTTCAAAGAGGACAATTATGCAAAAATGGTTCAACTGGAACTTGTCCATGCAAAATCCCGGCAAGTTCCCCTCATGCCAATAGCATGAATAGGTTGTTCTTTAGAAATGGGGCAAAACCCCAAAACAATAACTGAAAAATAAGTGAACAATAAAACACACAAAAATATAACCCATTAAAAATCTGAACAATGAAAGAAAAGAAAAAAACCCAATGGAATAAAAAACAAATGTAAGAAACAAACAAGAACAATTCGAACGGAACAAAACAAAAAAACTAACCAGCTGAATTGGGAGTTGAGGGTGAGTTAGCTTGGCTTCCATGGGCTGACACATTGGTAGCTGTGACAGCCGTTTTGGCAGCATAAATATTGGCTTCCTCTTGAAATTTACCTATGTTCTTCTTGTACCGGATTCGCTTATTTCCAAACCAGTTTGACACCTAGAGCAAGTTCAAGAGAAGATAAGAAAGTTAACATTGTGCCTTTCACTAATTTTTGGCAGAGGGCTGGGGGAGTGAGAAAACAAAGCCAATTGATTAGTATCTATCATAATTTTCCAAATAAAGAAGTCTTTGATTTGAATCTGAGTTTTCCTTCCTTCCTTCCTTCTTCCTTCTGTCTCTTTCTCCTTCCTTCCACCTCCAAGGTGGCATAATGAGAAAAGTTCCAGAGTTGGTGTCAGAAGAACTAGGCTCATATCTCAGTCAAGTCCCTTCACCTCTCTGAGTCTCAGTTTTCTCCTACATAATGAAGAACCTGGACTAAATGATTTCTAAGGTCCCTTTCAGGTCTAAAATCATACAGTCCCACAGGATTCTACATGGTTATAACTATGTCTATAATTCTAGTTTGGTGGAGACATTGTAAAAAGAAAAATCACATAGGACTCTTCACTTAAACTAGAATCCTTTTCATTCAAATCTGGCTGTCTGGTATTTATCTGTAGTTTAAAATAGAATTAGAGCTACATGTCAAAAAAGAGATATAAGCCAATTGACCTGGGCAAGGGTTGAAATCAAGGACCAGTGAGAGAGATATACCTTAAGTGATCCTCATAAATATATAGGAATCCAAAGACAGGTAACCTTAATGTTAACTAGAGTTTGATACTTTTCTATAACAAAAACATATCATAAGATAATAAATTTATAGCTGGAAGGAATAATCGCCTTATCTTATAAATGAGGAAATATGGCTCAGATAAGTTACATGATTGGTCCAAGGTAAATAAAGTGATCAATGATCAAGGTAGGATCCATGCCCAGGTCCAATAAGTTCACTTCTAGCACATTTTCCACCTGCCCTCTGGCACCTCCCTTATAGGTATGTTTACATACTAAATTCTGACATATATACAAATCTAAATATCAAAATTACTTACATGTACCTATATATTACCCATGTCCAAATACAAATAAAGAAAACCACAATGGTTCTCCTTATTGTCCCTATAAATTCAAGCCTTTACTTATGAAAACTAATGAACAAATTCAACCTAATTCACTTTGCTAGTTTATTTCCTGTTTGTTACTCATAGCAGCTGCCACCAGCCTCTTTTCTTTGTGCAATGACCGAGGACTTGTAGGCCTAAGTGAGGAAGTTGTTAAGGTGAAATTTGGATACTTGGTTCTTCCCCTTCAGGAGTAAGCATCACACCTGTGATGCCTATGACCCTAGGTTCAAACATTTCTGATTCTATTGACTCCAGTTTGGTAGTCACAACAGCCAACAGAGTTATCTTTAAAAAATTATATGGGAATAAATACTTGTAAATTGAATCAAAGCATAAAGGCACTAGGCCATCATTTGATGAGTTATTTCATGAAGTGAAAAATCTTTATGTGAATAATCACCTGTTAAATAAATGGGGGGTATACATTTGTATATTGTTTTGTTTTTCTCTTAAAACAATAATCTTTTCTACTTGGATTTGGATTTCCTCTATGTTACTTAATTACATGTCCCCACAAAATGAAGGCCTTGGTAACTCAGCTTTGAGGTCTTGCCTCTCAGGAACATAATCAACTATTTGACTTATCTAGACTAAGATCCCCAACTCTAGGCTGGCTTCCAGAAACCTGGGTATAAACTGGTTGTGGTGGAACATAGTTCCCTATGGGAACAAACATAAATTCATAGTTGCTTTCTCAGGCTGGCCCACAAAATCTTATTTAAGCCATATTTTAATTAAAATACTATATGTTTGTAATGGGAAATGGAAGAAAATACTATTATTATAGTAGTAATTAAAATAGAAGAAAAACAAAATCAAATAAGAAATCACTGTTGTTTCTAAAATTTATCTTGAATTCTAGTGCTTGAGGAGCAGAAGGTTTAATTAGAGGAGCTTGAGGGAGTAGAAGGAGGTTTCTATAGAGAGTGTAAAGAGGCTTTCTAGGTTCTTCCTGAGAACATAAGAGCATGGGTTCTTTATTATATCTAATTTCAAGGTCTTCCTTTTCCTTGATATTAGCACACTCTTACACTTATAAGTCGTGATTAGTATAATTTTCTTGGGTAATAAACAGAATGAAGAGAGGGAGATGGAGAATAAGAAAAGAGAGGGGAAAGGATTTTTCCTTAGGTAACAGATTGGAGTGGAGGGAGAAAGGAAGGTTACAGAAGATGTAAAAGTATGTAGGGAGCAGCTGGGGGGATGAGTAAAAGAAAGAGAATGCCAGAGGTAGAAATAATTATGTTCTGAGCACAGAAGAAAGAAGAAAAGAAGGAAGCATGCTGAGTATAGGATTCCCAAGAGGGGAAGAAAGGAGGTGGTGGGGAAGGGATGTCAGTGAGTTTCTTACGATGCCCACTAGGTGGCACTCTCTTCTTAAGAGAACTTTCAAAATCTTAAGACTTAAGAGTTTGAAGTGGCTTCATACTCAAATTTTATGTTTGTTTCAGATTTACATTAATTCATTTATTTGCTTCCTTGAGGAGCTAAATTTGTATCTATTTTCACAAAGACTTTTTAATACTATTATATATTTGTCTGAGCAAGAGAAAAAGGGCCATATGATATATAATGGGCTATTTGAAATTCCTGGCCCAGTCCATTCCCAACAACAGGGAATTGGAGTCCACAAATGAAATGGAGAACTGCCTTTCGAATACCTTGAACTACACATCCTGTAGGCAACTCAAACTGAACATCCCTCCCCAAAAAAAAACCCCAACAAAAAAAACAACTGATCTTTAAAAAAATACATATTCTCTTCTCTCCAATTTCTTTACTGTTGCCAAGGACCCCCTCACCTCCACTTTTTAGCTTCTACAGCTTCCTTCAAGACTTAGCTCAAATCCTATCATCTTCAGTAGACTTTCCATTGTCCTGCTAGTGCCTTCACTTTGAGGTTACTTTCCATTTATATTCCATGTCTTTTACATACATAGTTATTTGTTCTCTTATTAGCATGTCAGCTCCTTGAGGACAGGAGTAAAGTTTTTGCTTTTCTTTGTATCCTCCAGTAATTAGCACAGTACATTATGCATCAAAGACTTGTTGAATCCAGATCTTATGGCTCCAATTCTAGTGCTCTTTATTTTATACTGTTCTGCATCCTTAAAATAAGTTGCTGCTGGTAGAACAGAACAGCAACGATTGCCATCTTGAGCAAGCAGGACGATGGTGAGAAAGGAGGAGCACAATGGCTTAGGGGTGCATGTGGGAGGGAGGAGTACATATGTAAATTACTCAGCTGTGCAGCTAATATCAAAGGCAATGCTATTCCCTTCTCCTATTCCAAAAGATTACTTAGTTTTTAGATCACTTCAAAGAATACAGATCTTGCAAGAACAAAATCAAACTTGATGACCCTTGAGGCTGAACCCAGAGGTTCCGCCTACCAAGAAATTGTTCAGACTGGAAATGATCATTGTCAAACTCAAATTTCCTAAAGTATCTCTGGATTCAAATGGATTAGATCCGGTGGCACTTTCTTCATGGGATGTTCCTATTCATAAAGTTCTGCATCCTGACTAGACACAACACTGATTAGAAAACACAGGCTGATACTTTCCTTCCTACCCTGAATCCCAGGGTATAATGTGGTCCAAGGTGCTTTCCAAAGATAGAAAAACTGAAAAATATTGGGTGGAATTTCTCCTAAGAGTAAGTCTCCCTTTCTATTTGTTTTCCTCTTTTTTCCCCTCATTTTTCATGGTGCTTTTCTGCTATTCTACATATGGAATCAGCAATTATGGATTTTTCTGTTGGATTTCAATATTACCATTCCTTATCTCCACTAAAGGCCAAGGCCAAGGAGTAGGCCTGGGGAGCAGGGAGGAATTATCGAGTAAAATAAGGCATGGGGAGAGAGAGAGAGAGAGTAAGAGAGAGAGAGAGAGAGAGAGAGAGAATGACAGTCTTTCCAAGTGTTCTCAAAGGTGAGGTTCTGATTATACAGGATATATGGATGGAATTCTTTGAATGATCAAAAACATGTACATAAATATATAATTATAATATATAATATATAGAATGTAAATAACATGTAATATATAATACATGATATACAATATATAATAATAGTAAGCCAGTGATTTTATATGTATATAATATCTATCTCTCCCTCTCTACATATATGTGATACAGATATATATCTCAATATCTATTTCTAGATATTATATATATATATATATATATATATATATATAGGTAGATATTAGATAGAGATGTAGATATTCATCTATATCTACATGTTTCTCTATCTATAATCCCTGGCATACTATTACATCAGAATGAAATACTATTTCCATTATTATAACAGCCTTAAATATTTTTCATCTCTGAAGTCAATGTTAAGGAAATGTAATTATTTTTCTATGCAGTTGTTTTATTGTCATAGGGTATGATTCTATCCTTCCTCTTGATTAAGACACCCAGACAGAGATAGTCAAACCATGTAGGTCCTCATCCTTTCAGATGACTTTCTACGTTACTGTGGTGTCTACTCATTAATTCAAGAAGGTCTTGAAATTTTCAGAAGTAAAGGGTGGGCTTTTGTTATCTATGCATAAACCAGAATGATTTGGCTTTTATGTGCACGTATCTGAATTTTTATTCACTTGAAATGAGGGTCTGCTCACTAGGAAGGGGTGGAGATGATTCCAGAATAGTGGTATAAGCTTAAAGATGGCCAATGTAGAAGCTATCAGAATTAGAAAGCGATCTAAAAGTCTCTAAGATAACTTTTCATTGTTACTCAGTCTCTGCCAAGTCATCTCTTACTCTTGCTAGTCAAAATGAGACCTGGTACTTACCTACAGAGCTCCCCCCAGACCTCTTATGCACTTACCCTGCTAGTCCAGACTTCAGCTGCAAGGACTTGCCTGATATGTGTGCTCTAGAAAGCAAAAGCTTCCACTACCCTGCCATGGAGCTCTTCCGTGGCGAGGCCTCAGCCTGAACCCATTGGGTGCCGCCTTACCTGTGAGACCGTGATGCCACATTTCTTGGCTAGCTCCTCTTTGGCTTCCTCACTGGGGTAAGGGTTGCTGAGATGGGAATAGAAATACTCATTCAGGATTTCTGTGGCTTGCTTGTTGAAGTTTCGTCTCTTCCGCCTTGACAAAGGAAATGAAATAAATCAATACGTGTAATCCAAATTAAAAAAAAAAGACCAGCACATTAGTACAGCATCTCAAGGGCAGAAGACCAGTTCTGTCTGGAGTGTCGGGTGAACCTGACAACACTCAGGGAGAGGGACATACTATCAAAGCATCTTCAAAAGGCATTTGTTAAGCACTTATGCATTGTTTCAAGCTCTGAACAGAGACAACAACATAGCTAGAAGTTAAATACAAGTTATTTTCTCTAACGTAGAAGCCTGCTGAAATGGATGCCAAATTATCATGATTTTTTAAGGCATCTGGGAAGAGGGAGCCATTCACTGACCGAAATTAAACTGCTGTCTCCTTGTCAAAAGGAGAGAGGCACACCTCTTACAAGGCAACAGCTAAGTGGCAAAACAAGTAAAACTCGAGAAATCTTTTTTAATATTTAGGTCAGAAGAAAGAGAGAAAAAACACATTATGAATAGAGGCACTTTTTTTCCCTTTTTTTTTAAAGTGCTAATTGAACTAATTTAAAGTGAGAATCATTTCATTGCTTCTTCACAGCAAAGACCATTGGATCACTGGTAGGGCTGCTGATGGAGCTGAGGCTCTTAGCAGGCCCTGAGTGTCCTTCTTTGAGAGTGTGAGCTATCATCTTTAAATTAGCTCAATTAGCACTTTCCCCTTTATTGCTTTTATCAAAAGGTTTTCCTTACAGATGTGAAAAGATTTCCAACTAATCTCTGGTGGTACCAGTGAACAGATTTTCCCAATTTTACCAAGACAAAGCACTGGATCTTGGTGCTCTGTTAATATTCACTGGAAATTCAGCTAATATTGTATCTTCAGTGTCCCTCCTGGGTTAATTAACACAATAAAGTGCCTGATTTTACCGGATGAATACCATCTGTCCACAGGTATTAACCACATCTGTCCAGATTATGCCAAGCTCAATCCTCTCTCTAAAACCATGCTGAGTTTCTGGGTCACTCAGCACCCAAAAGTAGACAGATTGGAATTTTTTTTAACCTAGCTTAAAAGTAGGCATGTGATAAAGGACTCCTCCTGTATGCTGGTGATAAGTAGAGGAAGAGACTCAGTTGATTATCTTGTACTTTGCTGATTTATGTGCAAACTGTGATGTCTTCTTATGGATCTCCTGTAGAAAGTTATGTTGAACAAAGGGAGGCGAGACCCTGGCATCCATTCATCTGGCAGCCCCCTTGTACATCTATTGTGTATATTCTGCAATTCTGCCAGGTGATCTTAAGGGAAATTTCTTGTAAAAAGGAGCTGGTGGTACATTTCAAGGTTGCTTTCAATGAGCAGACTTTGACTGGATTGAGCAGAGACAATCTCAAAACTGTTCATGTTCCTCTTTCTTGCTACTTTTCTCTTTGCCATTTCACTACTTGTGAGGACCTCTACTAAGGGGATATACAGGAGGGAGGTTTAGAAGTGAAATTCAAAATAGGCAATTTTTGTCTTTTATAAGAATCTTTGGTAAAAGGTTTGGTAGGGGAGGTAAAAAACTGGTACACTGGAAAGAGGACTGAATTTGGACTTGTGAGGATCCACGTACAATCTGGCTGTGCCACTTATGACTGGTGTGACACTATTTCAACTCACCTCTCTGGGCTTCACTTTACTAATTTATAAAATGAGGGGGCTGGGCACAATGGGCCTCTAAGATCCTTCCCATTGCTAAGTCTAAGATCCTATGATTAAAATTAATTTGGAAACATAAGTAGCTTTCACTTACCCACACTATCCCTGTCTCCAATTAACAATGATGCAGAAATGTATGATCCCGAACACAACCATCCCTATACCTGAAGCCTTATATCCAGGCTTATCTTTTCTGGAATAACCGGTCGCATGGGGCTGAGAGGGAGAATTCCACTTGACTAGCACAGATCTGAGGCAAGCACTCAGTTGAGAAGTGCTACACTTCCATGGGTTAATTATCAAATCTTGTACTGTAAATCTATCAAATTGCTAAAACTAATCCCATTACTGAATCAGGCCTCCCATGTATATTATTTATTTCCACAGCGACATGTCTTGAAGAGCCCCCATTTAAGAGAGGTACATGTTATGGCAGAATTTCTATGGCAGCAGCAAGATTTTCAAGAATGTCTCTTTTTTGACTTGGTGCCTGTTTAAACAGCTCTTCCAAGTACAGCTCATGATGCTGGGGGAAACTGTGTGGCATCTCTAGATTGGAGAGGGCAGTGTTAAAGTGTACTTATAAAGTTGGAAATCCAGGGCTGGAGTTTGAAGTTACTTTCTTTTGCTAGCATTACATTTTCTACACATAAAATTAAAGTGATGATCATTATCCACAATTAATAATAACAATAACAACAACAACAACAACAACAACAATAATAAACATCTTGCAGAAAGCCTGCCAGGAACACAATAAAGAAAACATTTCAAAGGCATTTCGCCTCTTTGTTCTGGCCAGCCTGGTATTAAAGGGACTTTCCATGCAAAACCCAAAACTTGAGCTGAAAAATCCACAGTCTTAACAAAGGCTAATAGAAGAAAAAAGAGATACCCATAACATACTGCAATGAATTCTTGGCAAGCGCCATTTGCCTGGCTACCTCAGATTCAGAAAAAATAAAAATAAAAAAATCAGATGAGACAATGAGCCGGGTCCGTCCTTCTCCCTAACTTCTCACTTCAAAAGATTCCAGGCTGTGTCCAACTTTATTTTTTCTAAACCTGCTGATGTAAATACCAACTCCAGCATTTTAACTAGGGGAGTTGCCATGGGAATGCAAGCACTACATGCCCTGGCTGCTGCTCTACCCGGGCTCAACGGAAAGGAACCAGAAGGCCAGTAGGCACTTGTACTTGGCACCCCCAGGGAATTTCCATTGCTTTCAGCAACCTAGACCCCAGTAGGCCTTAGGCACACAGAGAGAGGGGAAAGAGGGCAGGATCATCTGTTGATAAGAAATCTACAAAGGACTGACCACTCTTAAAATTCCACCATTATATCCAACATCGAAAATGTCTTTCTGGGTACATACCCCAGACTGAATGGTAAGGAAAAAAAAAAAGCAAGAATGACTTTACTGAATTTTCCCTATTTAACAGGGTAGCAGGGCCTATTGATTATTATTTCTTTCCTAAGTTCTATATGACCCAAAGACCTCACTCACTGCTAGCAATTTTGGAAAGGACTTCCTAGCACTTCCTTTAGCACTAAGGGACTACAATGAAACGAATGAAAGATGTGTTATGGAGGTGAACAAGATAGTATCTAGAGCAGGTATTCCTAATCTGTCCACTGCAGACTCCTTGGGACGCAAGTCACTGCAAGTGGTCTATAACTCTGGACAAACTAAACGCTATCCTTTTCATCTTCAGTTTTAATAAAATATAAGCTCAGTAAAATAAGTAAGTTAACATAGATTCTATAGATCAATTAAGTAATGTCTTATATACATATATATTACTATTTTTCAAATATATATAGAGATGCTGCTATAATTAATAAAACACAAATTCATTGAAAAGTGCTGCTGAATTAAGAGAAGCGACATGGCGCAGTGCGAACAGCACTAGATCTTGAATGAGAAGACCTGGGTTCAAATCCTGCTTCTGATATTTATTGCCTGTATGCCCTTGGTTAAGTCACTTCCCTCTGTGGGCTTCAGTTTCCTCATCTGTAAAATAAGAGGGTGGTTTGAGGTGGACTCCAAGATCCTTTCCATCTTTAAAGATCCTATGACCTCACATTGCTCTTCTTTTATCTTATATTTTCTCAATTACTGGATACTAATAGTACAACTGTTCTAAAATGTTAGCTGTGAAGCTTTTTTGGAGGGGGAGGATAGGGGAATATAAAAAAGAGGTCCTCCTATCACAAATGAAGAAACTCAGGCCCAGGGAGGTTAATAAACTTGCCTAAGACTACAGAGAGAGAGAGGGTAAGGAGCAAAATCAGAATTCAAACTCAGGTCCTCTGATCTCAAATCAGAAGTCCTTTTTCTACTCATCTATCTTTCTACTCATCAATCTAACAGACTATTTTTCTTTCCTTTTTGGAGACAGCACCAATGAGGGGCCACCAATAAGTCCTACCACAGAAGGCTTCAGGCACTTACTGTTAAGATACGTTTATCCTCCTTGTTCAACGTGATTGCTAAGGGCTCCCTCCACTTATCCACTGTGAGTACTTCCAGAGGTAGAAGGTGTCTTTGTTATACGGGCACCTGCTATATGCTTCTTATTAACTACCACAGGGTCACAGAACTACTTAATTTTTCTCCTATTACGCAAGAACATATTGTTTTCAAACCAAAAACCACTCATCTTTCTCTGATCCTCCATCAAATCACTGAACTATCTCTCTAGCCTGGGAATTTTTTTATTTATTTGTTTTTCCCCTGACCTATCCTTTCCTCTTGTTGGAGTTGCCCGTCCAATGTGATATACTACATGTTACAAAAATCTGATCTATCTGAGAAACGGATCAGTAAATGACTACAGGCTCAGGCCAGGTGGCAAAGGAGGTTTTGTTTCTTTCTTTTTTAAAATCCAGAACGGTAAGGAAAGAGACTTACCTCGCGTCCAAAAACCGCGAGCGTAGGATCATGACTGCTTCGCATGTGCTCTGCTTGAGCTGCATCTGGATGGAGCTGAATTTACGATGGATGATGCTCACCATTCTTTCGATCTCCTTTGGCGAGATAGGCCTGGTCCGGCTCTGCTCACGAAGCAGGTTCATCACGTGTGTAGTGAACTCGTTGCATGCCTGAAATAGCAGGAAAGTGAGAGAAACCCCAAGGAACGGAGGGTCACCGAAGAGAACACTGGTGACACAAAGGCGGGCTGGATGGCCAACTGGAGAAGGTTACGACTGCTGGATAGAAGATCTTTCTAGGTGAGCCTGTATGGCATTTGAATCCCTTGGTGGCTTGCTTCTAACCTACCTTAATAACATTACTCCCCTTCACATACTCAACAACACAGACGAGACGGATTTCTCGTTGTCCTTCATATGTGGCACCACCTCTCAGTTCTGTGACTAGAGGCTGCTAGGTGGTACCATAGTGCATGGAGTACTGGACCTGGAGTCAGGAAGACCTGAGTTCAAATCCAGTTTCAAACACTTACTAGCAGTGTAACCCTAGGTAAGTCACTTAACTCTGCTTCAGTTTTCTCAACTGTAAAATGAAGATAATAATTGTACCTCCCAAGGTTGTTGTGAGGATAGGAAGGGATAATATTTGTAAAGCTCTTAACAAAGTGCCTGGCACGTAGTAAGTGCTTAATCAACACCTATGATCCATCCATAGTATACATTCTCTCTTCACCTCCTCTTCTTAGAATCCCTCAGTTACATCAGGGCTTAGCCCAAGCAGTACCTTCCTACATGTGGCCATGTCTGTTCCCTTCAGTTTCTATCATTTCTCTCCACCAAAAAAAAGAGAAATTCATCTTGTATTTATGTTGCATTTACTTAATACTTATTTATATGCGTACAGGTTATTACTTCTTGAGAACTTGCTTCATTTTTGTCTCTGTAACCCCACACGTAGTACAGTATCAGGCACACAGTAGGACTTTAACAACTGCTTACTGCTTGACTGAAACTAGCTAGCTCTGTCCCCTTCCTAGTTTAGGTCTATAACATGAGTCCGACACATCAGAAAACATGCAATAAATTGATACCATGGAATAAATCCCTTTCTTGGACAATTTAAGTGTAAAATAGATGATTTCCTTCTTTCCTTCTTTTTCATGACCTCCTTAAATGGGAGAGATAGAGTCTGGACCTCTTACAAGTACCTTTTGTTCTGACTGTTCACAGGAACATGAATCCCCCTACCGCTGTCCCCTCAAAAAATGTTGAGAAGGCCAACTTCTTATCAAACTCTTAACAAAAGTGAAAGATAAGAATGCCAATGTCGCAAACTTTTTTATCTGTGTTCTTGAGTCTCACTATTGATAGAACAAAGGATTCTTAGGTGAGATGTAGTGTGAGACAGCCATCCTCATGTCTACTTCCTCGGCACAGGGATCATTTCTTGAAACCATGGAGCAAATCATCGATTTTCTTTTTAGTCCTTTATCAAACCACTGGCCCGTGTAGCATTGGTACCATTCCTCCAGCTGACCTGACTGGGACTCTCCACAAATGAGCAAAGATACCCTTCCTTCTGCTTAGGGTTGACTCCTGAATTTAATATTCTAGGTTTCAAAAATCAGAGCCCACTGTGAATGGATAAGCATATTGCTGCATTCTGATTTGAGCTCTGGCCTAGAAGTTATGGTGCTGAGGATGGATTAAAGACTTTTTTAGTGAATAAGAGAGTTAAAATGGGACTGATAACCTTTTCTGACAGAAATCCACCTTGGCCCATTTTCCCTTTTCTATTTCTAAGACAAGCAGATTCTCCTAGGGCCTTATTCCCAGAATCAACATCCTCAGGGACCTTCCATATCATCATGGTCCTTTCCATATGATTAAAAAGCTTTCTCAAGGGGCAAGAAAGTCCTCAGATTATATTCTGGGCTAAGAATTTTCTTTTCCATTTTTGAAATTTGCTGCTTTTAAAACTATTATTAGAAAGTCAGAGAATATCAGAGATGGAAGAAGGCATCTCATTTAAACACTTCATTTAACATCATACATAAGCTGACTTGACCAAAGTCACATAACGGATGCTTTGCAGAACTGAGGAAACCAAGGTTTCCTACTTCCTAGACAAGTGATCTTTCAACTGCACCGTATGACTAGCCTCATTAGTTGCTGTTTAAGCATCCGTGATGCGGTTTGCCTATTTGTGCATTTAATGTAATGTATAATGATTGTAGCTGGTCGGGGGGGGCATATTTATGGAATGCTACATATGCCATCAGATAGTGTTGACGTTTTTATTATTTTTGCTGAACTTGAGTTTTTTTTAGTGATTATTATAAGGATACTTGTGGGGCAGGTAGAAAAGTGATATATTTAGAAATGAAACTGATGTCAGAAAAGAAGGCATCAATAAAAATGTATAAAGAATTGAGAATGTCCAAATTAAGCGAGGCATACACCTGAGGCTGAGTTTGAATTCATTTTCCTGCTCTACTGCAGTACCACTGTACTACCTGGTCACCAAATTAACTCTTGAGGTTCTTATGAAGATCAATTGGGTTTGTGAGAAAGATGCTTTGAGAGCTTCAGATCCATTGAATTTTGAGTAACAGTAGCACTGCAGTTATTATTCCTGCTAAAATCATGATTCTTCATTCACTAAGCTCTTTGCACCTGTCAATGAATGACCTTTTAGATACTTGCTGTTTACCCTTTCACATTAGCACCCTACAAGCCATGTTAACAAGTAGAAAATAACCAGATTAAGAGAGGAAGAACCTGTCGGCTGATGCCTGAACAAAAGAGACCACAGGCCTGATTCTGAATTCTTCCTTCTGGTGTTATCGTAGGGTCCCTGAACAGGTAACTTCATTCCTCAGGGCCTCACTTTCTCCATCTATAAAATGGGGGATAACAATTCTTATCCCATCAGCAAGGGAGGGCGATACCAGTGGCCCCTGGGGGATGCAGTGAAGGCCACTTAAAGAAAAAATCTATGTGAAAGCACTTTGATCACCTCATAAAAAGACTGTTTCAAAATCTTTACTGCTTCCCACTACCTCACTAATCCATCCATCCACCTTGGGGATACTTCACTAGGGCTCGGTTTTCTTCTTGGCAAAGTGGTGGTAATAATAATTGCCTCCTCCCTACTTTGCTAGGATATTGTGAAGATGAATGAGATCATGTCTATACAGCACTTTGATCTCCTTAGAGAAAAGTGCCGTATAAATATAAGGTATTATTATTAGCTTCTCCCTGCTCCCCTCCTCCGCCCGAATAACACAAAAAAGCGGAAATGAAACCTGGCAGTAACTTGGCTAAGATTCTATAAGGCTAGGGGGGTGGGGATCAAGGGGAGGGTAGGCACACAGTGGGTATCCCAACCCCCTTTTCTGGGGAAATGCTGCAACATGCTGGGCGGCAGCTTCCCCACCTCATAGGGGCTCAATGGGAGGAGGGGCTGCGTGTGAGGCGATATTGTAGACTGCACCAGCTCTCAGCTGGGAAGCCCCAGTTCTTGGCTAATAATAATGTACTTCATTACAGTGAATAAAAATACTCACAATATCTGATGTTTATGCTGGGCTTTTCAGTGCTGAGCCTTCCCGTCCACAGACAGAGGAGTCATTTCCCCCACCGCTGAGGTGAATCACAACAGCTGTTTAACAGCTGCTAAGGAACACACAGCAGAAAGCAGCGAAGAGTCCCGTGTCCACTTTGGATGGACAGAACATAATGACCCAGATTTTCCCAGGACCTAAACCACACCCTGGCGGCAGATTTAGAAGCTATATTGGCTGCTGGATTCTTTAGGGTCACAGTAACTTAACTATTTATTGTTGGAATCATCTAACGAAATTTGAGTGGCTGTGCACCCTGAATGTGCCTGGGCCAGTTTCCAAAAATATGTCACAAACAACTCTTGCTCTTTCTTATTTCACATTTATATACTGTTTAAAGGTTGCTTGTCTGACAACAGCCCTGGGAGGTTGAAAGTACAATTATTATCCCCATTTTACAGATAAGAAAGCTGGGGCTATGAAACCTTACATTCATTGTTGCACAAAGCTAGTGAGTATTTGAAGAAGAATTTAAATTCTTGCCTTCTGAATTTTAATCTAACATTCTATTCAATGGTGAGTATGTGTGTATACGTATGTTCAGAAATAGATATACATATATGCATAGATATATACACATCTGTATATGTAAAAATATATTATGCAATAAACACATGTATGTATGTAGATACACAAATATAAATACAAGTATATAGTGTACATTAAATACAATTTGCATATATACAAATATATATTGTATATTAAATACGCATGCATGTATGCATACATGTGTATATATAGTATATTACGCACATGTATATGTATGTATATCTATATATAGTATATTAAACACATGCATGTGTATACATATATGTCATTATATGCAAATATATAGTATATGAATACATATATGTATGAATCTATACATATTTCTGATTTCTATGTAATAGTAATAATAGTAGCTAGCATTTATATGGCATTTGAAGGACTATGAAGCGCTTTATATACTGTTTTAAGGATTATGAAGGGGAATCACTATGCATAACAACTGCATGGTTATTATTGTCTCCATTTTACAGATGAAGGAACTAAAGCAGGAAGCGATTAAATGACTTGCCCAGGGTCACCTAGCTAGTAAAGTATGTGGGGCTGAATTTGAACCCAGGCTCCACCTACTTACACATCAACTATACTTACAGAAAAATATCAAAATTATATCAATATCAAATATTTGGATGTCTTCTAATGTACATCAGACTTATCAAAATAATATCACAAATACCTATTATATAGATAATTTTGTATGGCTTTTTGAATGGTAAGAGACTAAATTTTCTCTATTTCCCCCTGATTACCTTTATCATGAATTCAAAAATAATCATTTAGCAAGTATTTATATACCAGGTATTATGTTAGGCTATGGAGACAAAAACAGAACAGTCCTTGGCCTCAAGGAGCTTACAGTCCATTGAGGGGAAACAAGGAACAAGTAAATACAAGTGTGAATGTAAAAGAGTGTGTGTGTGTGTGTGTGTGTGTGTGTGTGTGTGTGTGTGTGTGTGTGAGAACATGTAATTTTATCCCTTGCAAGATCAGGATAGCTGC